AGACTGAAGGAGACTGTGTGAATCAGCCTCTGGAATGGAAAGAAAGCTGAAGAAACCAAATCTCYGTTATCTGAACATGTCCACTCCTGTGAAAGTATCTACAAAGACAAAATGGTTGGAAGGGGGAATGGTTGGTCTGTGTAGAAGATAGATACAGGTCTGTGAGCATGGAGAGAATTTTCATATTTTCTCTATGCGTAGAGGGTCAATTTCTGCTTACAGTCCTGGGACACTTTCCCTGGGTCTGCAGTTTGGTGCAGCAACAGGTCTCCTGTTGCAAACATCACAAACTTTGTGAAAGATCAATGTTGCTTAGAAACCAAGAATGGCTCAACCTCTCCCCCAGCATTATGTTTAAGCAGGAGGAGTGGAAGACTTGGATGGTGTTTATAATTCATGCTCTGATTGAGATATCCATCAGGTGCAGGTAATATCCCCAGCCTAGAACCKCTTCTTTTGGAGCCTCACCATCTCTGTCAGTCTTTCCCACCTGCTACCTCCCTCTGAGTGGTGCACACAAAATACCTCAAACTGGCACAGGTGCACATAGTTATGGAGAAAGAAAAATGCTGCCATTYGGCYCCTGGTTATGTGAAGAGCAGAGTGGGAGCACACACCAGAATGCTCGCAATACAAATATAGGTGTTTTGGGAAGGGTACCAGGACATGGAGAGTGCATAAAGRAAGATCCCAGATTGTTTCCTCTGTTGCAGTGGACACACTGGGGAAGATGAGCCAGGTCCATCCTCCCAAAACAGCCCCTCACATCACTCCTTTCCAGCACTGACCATTCACCCCAGCGGTGCTGGGGRAAATGGCCATCTCCATTCTGCCACACATCTCTGCATGCCCACTATGCTCCCAAAGACAACATGAGAGCCCTGGCCCTGCAGTCAGTCTGACGGGTCCTCCTGCTCGAAGGATAGAGCAGCCTGCCCTGGGCTCATGGCCTGGATCTAGCCTGTGGTCACTAGCAGATTGCATTGTGACTGTGAACTTGGTATATTTTCAACTCCTTTTTCTCAAGAAGATGTCCGTATGTGTCTGAGGAGATGCCCTTGTGTTTTAAAGGTGCCCATTATTTACTCCTGCCAGTGCTCAGAGGAACGCAGGGGAAACAACTCTAACACCAACTCATTATGATAGCTCTTGATCTGTCTACACACACGRSAGSACAGCAGGAGAGTGTGGAAATGAGGAGAACAACTCTGAAAAGAGAAAGTCCTGCTGCTGGAAGTGGAAGTKTCTCCAGGAAAAMTGCWGTCCCCATGTGAAGSCTGCAGCCAGGAARTGCCTCCTGTAGCAATKAGGGGATGGTCCCAAAGAGCATAGGDTTTGTCCCCACAGATTRSATYCAGAWTCTYRTCCCCTCCACTCCCACTYCACTGTGAGCACTGCAGCACTGGAGAGGGAAAAGACGAGCCCACAGGGACACCAGGCTGGCACCCTCACAGGAATGAGTGTGAGATCACAGCCTGACTGTGGACAGGAGGGTTGTGCCCCCCTAATGGACATGAGACCCATGCTCTCATATCCATGTGTACTTGCCAGAGCCCTTGGTGTCATTGCTGAAAGAGACACTGCAAGGGAAACTCTCTGCACGGCACTGAGGGCCTCTGAGTGAGATGAGACTAGCACGTTATGAGCTGCCCATATCTCTGCTGATGAAGAGACAAGTCTTGCTTTCTGTTTCAACAGGTTGCTTAGTCAGATTCAAAGGATTTCTGAGGACGAGTGACACGAACCAAAATGATTTTTCTTTTAATGCAAATCCAAAAAAGAAACATAATTAAGAAAGAAACGAACAACAGCCTTCATGCCAGTTCCATGGGAATGAGGAGGAGGTGCACATGGGACACTTACTGGTGCTGACATTGTGCCCGCTGAAGCAATTTTCTCAGCACATGCTTGAGCTCCTTGTTCCTCAAGCTGTAGATGAGAGGATCAACTGCTGGAGGCACCACTGCATAAAGAACAGCCACCCCTAGATCCAGGGATGGGGAGAAAAATGGAGGGGGGCTTGAGGTAGGCAATCATGATGGTGCTGACAGAAAGGGAGATTACGGCCAGGTGAGGGAGGCACATGGAAAAGGCTTTCTGTCGACCCTGCTCAGAGGGGATCCTCAGCACAGCTCTGAAGATCTGCACATAGGACAGCACACCAAAAACAAAGCACCCAACCACTAAACAAAGAGTAAATACCATAACAGCAGCTTCCCTGAGGTAGGAGTCTGAGCAGGAGAGCTTGAGGAGCTGGGCAACTTCACAGAAGAACTGCTCCATGACATTGCCTTGGCAGAGTGGTATTGAAAATGTGTTGGCAGTGTGCAGGAGAGCAYTGAGAACACCACTGSCCCAGGCAGCTGCTGCCATTTTGGCACAAGCTCTGCTGCTCATGAGGATCCCATAGTGCAGGGGTCTGCAGATGGCTGCAAAGCGGTCATAAGCCATGACCGTGAGAAGAGAACACTCTGCTGAAAGGAGGAAAAAGAGGAAAAATACCTGGGCAGCACATCCCAAGTGGGAAATGGCCCTGGTGTCCCACAGGGAATTGGCCATGGATTTGGGAACAGTAGTGGAGATGGAGCCAATATCCAGGACAGAGAGCTTGAGAAGGAAGAAGTACATGGGGGAGTGCAGGTGGTGGTCATAGACTATGGCTGTGATGATGAGGCCATTGCCCAGGAGGGCAAACAGGTAGATGCAGAGAAACACTGCAAAGTGCAAGAGCTGCAGCTCCCGYGTTTCTGAGAATGCCAGTAAGAGGAACTCATTGAAGGAGCTGCTGTTGGACATCTGCTGTCTTGCAGCACTGAAGGGGACTGTCCAAGGACGAAGAGAGGTGGACAAGTTAGTACATACTTCCAGGAGCAGAACTTTCGCATAACTCCCTTCCCTGTTTCTCTCTCCACATCACAAAAAAAAATTCACTGAGCTCTTATGACTTGAGCTCCATTTTGTGCTGAGTTTGCATTGAGGACATAGAGATCGTCTGGAGTGCTCCTACACTCACTCAGAGTGAGCCACTGTGATTCCTAAAGGCAAAGGGAGTCCCCATGGTCTTAATGCTGAGTGAGGAGAGCTCCTTGTCCATCTCCCTTGTTCACAGCTGCCCTCTGCTTGCACCTCTGAGGTACAGGATATTTGCACTCATGTCAGAAAGAAAGGACACGGCTGAGCACAGAGGAATCTAGAACCAAAGTGCACATCAGCAAACGTTATCCCCTTCCTCAGTTGATCTCAAATCCACAGAGTTAGTGCCTGAACTGCATCTGAATCCCACCCTGGCCACACAGTAATTGGGCAAGAACAGAATCAGCATGCACAAGCATGATATTTCTGTTTAAGGAGGAAGGGACAGGGAGAGACAGAGAAGTTTGAGAAGTTTGAGCACTGAGAAGTTTGAGATCCTTCTCAAATGGAGAATGGAGGCCTGCCTTGCAGGGGCTCTCCGCTTCCACCCTGAGCCTCCCCCTGCAGTCCCCAGGAAGGCTGAGTGTTGACCCTTGCAGGCAGTAGAGTCACTGCTCCAGGCACAGAGCACCGTGCAGTGGCAGGGACACTCTGACAGTGTCACAAGGAATCCCTGCTCTGAATACCTCCTTCTTCATGCCAGGGAAAGGGGGAAAGCTCTCCTGACATTTTCTATCAGCCATGGGAGGTGGTAGCTTTAGAAGACTCCTCAAGGTACCTCATGATCACTGCCTAGCAAGGACCAGACTTACTGATTTAGAAACTAAAAAGATTTCTCCATCATAGAGCCCTCAGACATCCTCCCACCTCCAAATACCTTCTAACTTCTTTCAGTCTCACTTGTCTCGCTTGTCTTGTTTGTTTCAAGTTGACACCTGTGGGAAATGCCCGGAGCTCTGCTGCTCTTTGCGGAGGAGCTGCTCCTGGTCACAGCTGTCTGCACAGAGCTGCTCCTGGTCATAGTGCTGTCAGGTTGCCACGAGCTCCACCCCAGGAGCCTGGCCATGCTCTGAAGAGTGACACAGCTGGAGGTGTGACTTGATTTTTGCTCCCTCTTGTCCTTTTGCTCCCTCCTCCTCCTCCTGGGAAATAGTCATTGAAACAGACTAAACTAATTATCTATGGTCTCTCTCTGAAAACCAAAGACTGAAGCCAGCATTAGGAACTGTCTCATCAGAGGAGGGTTTTCTAGGAAAGGTGGAACTGTCCCACTCAGAGGGGCCCTATTCCCACTTCTTAGCTAGGTAACAAACTGAGATGGGGACAAGGAAGGAGGTCATTTACACATCGTTCAGATGAGTCAGTCTAGGCATCTCTTGCCAGGTTTAAGGTCCTGGGCTGGAATGGTATTCAGATCCCTCTTGTGCACTCTGCAAACTCACAAGAAGTGGCATTTCTCTTGCCAAAACTGATGTGTGTATCACAGATATCTAAATGGGACTCTATTGTCTAAGGTCTCATTAGAATCACTGAAGATGGAGGGTCAGTTGCCCACACACAAACACAGAATAACACAAAGAATCACAGAATGGTTGAGGTTGGAAGGAGCCTCCAGAGATCACCTAGTTCAACCTCAATGCTCAAACAGGGTCACCTAGAACAGGTTGCCCCAGGAATGTGTCCAGGTGCCTTTTGCATGTCATCAAGGATGGGAGACCCCACAACTGGAAAGCTGTCCCAGGGCTTTGTTACTTTTACAGGAAAGCAGCTTTTCCTCATGTTCTGATGGCGTTTCCTGTATTTTGGTTTGTGCCCACTGCTTCTCATCTTATCACTGGACACCACTGAAAAGAGTCTGGCCCCATCCTCTTGACACCCACCCTTAAGATATTGTGCATGCTGCTGAGATCCCCTCTCAGTCTTCTCTTCTCCAGGATGAACAGGCCCAGCTCTCCCAAACTTTCCTCATAGGAGAGATGCTCCAATCCCTTCAACATCTTTGTAGCCCTACTCCAGTAGTCTAATGTCCCTCTAATCCTGGTGGAGTCAAGAACTGGACACAGTATTCCAGAGGTGGCCTCACCAGCATGGAGTAGTTGGGGAGGATCTCTCAACTTGCTGACAACACTCTTCCTAATGCACTTCAAGATACCATCAGCCTCCTTGCTCACAAGAGCACATTACTGGGTCATGTTCATCAGGACCCCCAGGTCCCTTTATGCAGAGCTGCTTTCCAGACATTTGGCACTCTTCGGCCCCTCCCTTTGTTGAACTTCATGAGGTTCCTCTCTGCTCATCTCTCCAGCCTGTGCAGGTCTCTCTGAATAGCAGCACAGCTCTCTTGTTGTTTCAGCCTCTCCTCCCTGTTTTGAATCATCAGCAAACTTGCCCTGAGTGCCTCTTGTCTCTTCATCCAGATCACTGAGGAAGTTGAACAAAAGCTAGACAAGGCACTGATCCTCAGGGAACGCTGCTAGCTACTGTCACAGAATGAGTGGCCATAGAGGTGAAAGACACAATGCTCTTCATTCATGTGAAAGAAACAGTAGTAGGTTTATTGATGTGGACAGTGGTTTAACGATGCTATTGCAAGGTTACTTCTTATTTGCTGCATGGGGTACAGGATATACACTGAATTCCCAAGGAGACCCTCCCATTGAGTCATGAGATTCAGATTGGACTCCCATGCTTTCCAAAGTCCTTCTGAGGGGAGTCTGGGTGCAGCTGGATCCAAGACGAGTCCAAGATCTGGTCAACGGTTTATGACTAAAGAATTTTGGGCATGGTTATGTCTGTAAAGCTTACAAATTCAGTGAGCCTGATGTAGTCACTTACCACCGATCTGTTGTGTCAAGGGTCTCCTAACCCCGAGGTGTGTCCTTGAGTGGTGTCCCTGCTCACACGGAGAACCTGGTGTGCAGTCCACTGCTGTGCTAGGAGAGTTCAGTGGTGTCTCAGGCTCTCTCCATATTTATGGGATATTTGACTTACGGTCATTGTTACATTTCAACCGAATTTGGACCAGGGATATATCCCTGTCAGAATGCAGCCATCAGGATTGCTATTGCTGATTATTGGGTGAATGGGGGAAGAGCAGGAATTATTGGGTGAATGGGGAAAAGATCAGGGCGGCAAGCACCAGGAGCAGATCATGTCACTGGTGGTTAACACCTGAATAGGGCTACCTGTGAAAAGTCAGCGTGGGCTGACCCATCACACCTACTGACCTCCACTTAGACTCTGCACTGCTATCGTAACTCTTTGAGCTCTGCCCCTTAGCCACATCTCAATTCACCTGAAAGCGTCACCTGAAGAGACATGCAGTTGGGCTGTGCACGCACGTCTGTCAGGACTGTAATTCACAGCAGCGTCCCCACATCCCAGGGTGCTCTGTGCCTGGGTCAGTGCCTCTGCCACCTGCCAGGGTCAGCAGCACTCAGTCTACTTGGGGAGCTCCCCACGGCACTGCAGGGAGAAGCTCTGTGGAGAGGAAGTGAGACCCCCAGCTGGGCAGGTTCATTCTCTTATTGAGAGGGGGCTGCATGGTCAGGGCTACTCAGAGCTCTAGCTCACCCCCAGAACACCTCTGGAGGGGACTTTCGAGAGGACACTCATGGCAGGCTTACCTGAGAGGGAAGGCATTCTCAATAGTYTCTGCTTTTGTTTCTGTTTTATTTGTGAGGGCACAAACTGAAAAGGCTGTTTGGGGGATAGAGGAGTGAATGAGAGCTCTGAAGTGCTGCTGTAAGAGATCAAGATGTCAGTGAGAATCCTCAGATAGTGTCTTCAGCCAGGGACCAGCAATATCAGTTTTGCAGTTCTCATCAYTCTCACCACWCTTAGCCTCACCTGCTCCTCAGGTGCAAACACAAAGCTGCCCCTGGGCAGTGCCCTTTTTACAAAGCGTTTTCTGCTGGGCAGAGCTGAGTGTCTACTAGGTGGGAGAGGATCTGTGAGCATTGAGGGGCAAAGACATGGGGACCGAGAAAGAGCTGCCCACAGGAACAGCTTCAGACAACAAAGGAATGCTTGGAAAGTGCATAACAAGTGCACTTGTTATGAAGGGTTTATGGGGTGTGCAGATTCATCTACAAATTCAGACACCCTGAGGTCCTGCCATGGAGATGACTCTATAGGAGCCAGGTGCTCATGTCCTGCCAGCACCCTGGGGCTCTACAGAGGAGCTGGGGAAGGAGCTGGCTCTCCCCTTAGCAGACCCTGTTTTCAGCACACAGGACTATTTCCTTCAGGTGTCCTGCTGGCTTTGTGAGGGCTTTAAACTAGATTCGAGGGGGGAGGGGGGTATCCGTGGGGTGGCAAATGAGATGGTRCCTGATGGCCCGTCACACCATCCACAGCAATCTAGAGCTGTGGCCTGTGAAGGGTCCTCTAGGACTCTAGAGGCCATAGGGCAAAATAGGAAAACTTCTGTGAGCCCGCACGGTCAGGATGCAGCTGTCCCGACAAGGAGGAGAGGCACATTGGGAGCCCCACTCAAATGCCTCTACATAAACGCACGCAGCATGGGCAATAAACAAGAGGAGCTGGAGATGCATGTGCGGCTACAGGGCCATGATCTCATCGCAATTACTGAGACATGGTGGGACAGTTGCCATGACTGGAATGTGGCCATGGAGGGCTATAGGCTTTTCAGGAGGGACAGGGCAGACAGGCGAGGTGGCGGAGTTGCTCTTTATGTGAGGGAACAACTGGAATGCTTAGAGCTCAGCATAGGGGAGATTGGAACGCGAGTAGAGAGCCTGTGGGTGAGGATAAAGGGGCAAGCGAGCAGGGGCGACACAGTGGTGGGAGTTTACTACAGGCCTCCTGACCAGGACGAGGAAGTGGACGAAGCCTTCTACGGGCAGCTGCGGGAAGCCTCC